TCCTATGATTCTATGATTCTATGACTTTCTCACCCTGGAACCATCCCGAGGGGGCATCGAGAATATCCTTGTGGTTACTGACCACTTTAGTCGCTATGCTCAGGCATATCCTACTCGTGACCAACGGGCATCTACTGTGGCCAAGGTGATGTGGAAACACTTCATCTGCAACTATGGCATCCCTGAAAGGATACATACAGACCAGGGGAGGAATTTTGAAAGTAATCTCCTTGTCCAGCTTTGGAAACTGTTGGGGATCTCAAAAAGCAGAACCACGCCCTATCACCCCCAGGGGAACGGGACTACTGAGTGGTTCAACCGGACACTCATGAATATGCTGGGAACCCTGTGTCCAGAGCAAAAAGCAAATTGGAAGGACTATGTTGAGTCCATGACTCATGCCTACAACTGCACTCGTCATGAGTCCACTGGGTTTTCCCCATTCTTCTTAATGTTTGGCCGGCACCCAAAGCTGAAGATAGATCTAGCTTTGGGTCTCCCCCACCGAGGAAATGAGGGGTTAGAGGTGGAGGAGTACGTCTCCCACCTCAGAAAATGCCTGGAGACAGCATACCATCAGGCTGCACAGGCATCTGAAGCTGCCAAACATCACCAGAAAAAGTATTATGACCGCCAGACACGAGAAGCCCCATTAATTCCTGGAGACAGGGTGCTAGTAGCCAAGGTAAAGAAAGGGAGACAGAAACTGGGAGACAGATGGGAATCAACTCCCTATATTGTAATTAGAAGACAAGGGGATTTGCCTGTCTATGTAGTGCAGCCAGAAACAGGAGGGGGGGAACTGCTGATACATCGTAACCGAATGAAACTGGGAGACAGATGGGAATCAACTCCCTATATTGTAATTAGAAGACAAGGGGATTTGCCTGTCTATGTAGTGCAGCCAGAAACAGGAGGGGGGGAACTGCTGATACATCGTAACCGAATTACACCATGCATGTTTCTACCTATTGATGGAGTCAGTCAACCAGTTGGCAGGGAAGTAGACATGCAGGAAGCCATGCCAGAAAATGAGGGAAGCCTCCCGTTGGAGGCAGGGGCAGGAATAGAACTTACTAGAGGCCCTATAGATAGTCCAGGGGGCTATAGAGGAAAGAGAACCTGTAGGGGGTTGACATACACAGGGGATACCCGGGACATGGGGGAGCCAGGATTACGCTGCAATGAGACCCCAGAGCAAGACAATTTTGACTCAGACTCTCAGTTCTCTGACCTGGAGGAGCCTGACCAGACCATGGGGGTAACAGAAGAGGCCGACCAAACTGAGGAGAGTCTGAATGAACTGAATTGGATCGGAGAAGGGCAGACTGACTGGGACCAGACCGAAGAGATGCCTAGAGAGAACCCACCAGCTCCACGGTGCTCAACAAGACAGCGCAGCGCACCTGTCCAGCTGGATTTGGAACAGAGGGCTGCCTGATGAAAGAAGAGTAGAGACTGGGGGGTTAGCCAGAGCTGCTGTGGGATGTGCAGCAGGACGCTGAGAGGTTTTTGATTAAGGAAAGGGACGAGGTCGCCCTTTCATTAAGTGGGGGAAGGGTGTAGCCCAAGGTCCAGTGTGTTTCAGCAGCAGCCCTGGGAACTACAAGTTGTGGACTACAAACTGCGGCATGTTGGGAGAACTTCCTGGTTCCTTCCAGGATGTGCCCTCTGCCCCCAGCAGGGTCTCAGCAAGGACTGTGCTAGAAGCAGCACACAGGCTGCATGCGGCCTAGCCCTCCCCCCACAGTGGTGTAAGAAGTCACAAGCTTCCCCTATGCTGAATAACCTCACACTAGGCTAGCCAACAGAAGGGGTTACATATATCTGTGTCTAAATCTTGCTACCTAAAACTAGATACAGGAAATCTCTTGCTATACACTAATTTAAAAAAAAAAGTAATGTATATCTGTGTCTAAGTCTTGCTACCTAAAACTAGATACAGGAAATCTCTTGCTATACACTAATTTAAAAAAAAAAGTAATGTATATCTGTGTCTAAATCTTGCTACCTAAAACTAGATACAGGAAATCTCTTGCTATACACTAATTTAAAAAAAAAAGTAATGTATATCTGTGTCTAAGTCTTGCTACCTAAAACTAGATACAGGAAATCTCTTGCTATACACTAATTTAAAAAAAAAAGTAATGTATATCTGTGTCTAAATCTTGCTACCTAAAACTAATGATGGTAAGATAAATTACTTGTAGCTTTATAAATTGCCTTTTAATATTCTATCAAAGAATACCAAATGGTATAATATACTTACAAAAATGTGTTGAGGACACATCCAAGTTACATTTTTGCAATTCATGTTTTTTCTTTTGTATGAAATGCAACAATCCATTAATACTACTATTTGGATAAAAGCCTAGATTACAAACAGTAAAAATATCAAAGTCCACTGAAGTTCAGTGGAAAGCCTCCCATCGACTTCCATGGGCTTAGGAGCATGCCTAAAACACCTGACACTTTTTTTTTTTTTTCTTTTCTATAATTGAAACTACAATCCTTCAGAACTGGTTCAAATAATAATAATATCATACAAAGTATAACGAACACCCCTATAGCCAAAAAAAGTGTGCTTTTAGGTCTACCATTAAGCATCTAAATAAAATGGAACCCTCTATTCTTTAATCTTTCCACTGCTTGAGTCTGATAATATTGATAACATTTTCTTCAAAGAAGAAAAGCGCTAAATGTGGATATTCCTTTTCACTGCAGTAACTTGTTCTCTTTAATATAGGCAATTAGAAAAAATGAGAGCTTGAGGTTGTTTCTTAAAAAAACAAAAAAACAAAAAAAACTAGTAACTTGCTTAAGGGTACGGCACTAGTTTTGTTCTTCCCCCACCCTCTTTTTTTTTTTTTTTTTTTTTTTTTTTTAAATCTTATCTAGTCACTGGAAGGTAAGACCCTTGTTTGGAAAACACGCAGCCCTGAAAATAAATTCTTTCTTTTATTAATTCCTATTATAAAGCAAGGGATTCTACTCCATTTAATTTATCGTATGTAAACTTTATACCAGTACACTTTTCTTCTGAATTATCACTAGTGGTAGTAAAGTATAAGTAATGTCCAAATAAACATTTTAAAATTATCTGTCTTTCTTTTGATGACCCTTGCTCTTAAATTACTTTTACAGGCAGTCCCTGGGTTACGTACAAGATAGGGACTGTAGGTTTGTTCTTAAGTTGAATCTGTATGTAAGTCGGAACTGGCATCCAGATTCAGCCGCTGCTGAAACTGACCAGCGGCTGACTACAGGAAGCCGGAGGCAGAGTTGCTCTGCCCC